AATTTAAACATCAAAATTTAAATCTTTGAACAATGAAATTTTTAATAATTTCAAATTATAAAAATTATTTAGTTCTTTCTTAATGTATTAAATCCGTTTTAACAATATTAGATTGGACCAGATTAGGGCTTTCGAAAATTGATTGAATTTCTATTGTATTGAACTTTGGCACACTGAAAGTGATACCCTACTTCGAACATACAGTTAACTAGTTTCGTAGCTAGTTCGATACCGATACGCTGGTAGCAATTGGAAAAACAACTCTGTAAATGGATATCCGTGAGTTAAAAGTGAAAATAAAAGAAACATCCTCCAAAGAAACGTTTCTTCTCGAAGACGTGACTTTTAAAACTTGCGTCGTCTCTAATTTCTACGAGAGAATCGAACAGAAAAACTTTAGTAATTTTACTTCGCAAATTAAATAAATCGTTTAATAACAAGTCCGTAAAAATTAAACGTCCGCGTAATTAAATGTTTTTCTTATTTTATTTTCAGATTATCTAATAAGATGTCAACTAAATTCTGCTTAAACTCAATCTTGCTCCTTTGTATTGCCGGTTTCGTTGTTGCCGCCGAAAATTACATAGACTACGGAGGTACGTCAAACGGAAATTGAATTCCTAATTCAAAGTCATTTAACAATCAGTGTACATTATTGAATACATGTATGTGTACGTATCCGTAGATGAATTGTCCGATAGAACACCGGCGGAAAATATTCACGAGCTCTATAAACTACTTATGCAACGTAATGCTTTAGAGAATGCTGGACTTGGCGAGGTCCCGTTCGATCATTTAATGATTCGTAAATCTCAACGATCCCCTTCGTTGCGTTTACGCTTTGGACGTTCGGATCCTAATCTACCAGTAAGACTGTTTTATTCTTAAATAAAAAGCTATAACAACAATTAAATTGCATGAGTATTTGTATTTTCCAGGTAGGTTTATTGGCGAGATTCAACGGCATTCCATCATCGAGATTTGACAACAAGTGAATATGAACGAACAGCACGTTCTTCTTTAGTTTCACTTCTCATACTATAACATAGATATAATAAATATAAAATGCCCACTTAGTTGTCCATTTAATTTAATAAATCTTAACTATTCTATCCTGATTAATCATTTTTATTTATTCCGCATGCAATAATAGAATATTTTAAATATTGAATGCTTCGTACATCCACCTTCATTCATCTTCCATTACAGAATTATTTAAAGTGCATTCATTTCACGGCTGAACAAAGTTTTTTGAGTAAACATACTGCTTCCCTATCTTCGCAAGATAATTCACCAATATTTTTAAATTCTGGGCGCAATAGAAGTTGGCTCCGCGCACGTTTCGCAGTGATTGAAAGAGGCATCGATAAAATTTTATTCCAATTCGTTTTTTCGTACTGGGTAAAGAACTGTAAATCAAATAATCTTACTTCCCCTGAATTTTGTAAAATTATTTAAATGTTTCAAGAATCATTTTTGTATGCATGAGTAATTTTTTAATTCCCATCAAAGTTGTTTTGTCACTGACCTGATCAAACAGGACATCCTCGATATGGAACATTACGTGAGTCAAAGGTTTAACAAATGGCAAAATTTCTGGTATATCGTCTATAATATTTTTCGTATTATTTTGCCGCAAGTTATTTAACACCAAATCGGATGCGCGTGTTAAAATCTCGTGCATCACCTAGAATGAATAATTTCTTACGAATTTTTTACGATTTATAAACATTTTTCGGTCACTCACTCTTAATGCCTGGCGTCCAGGAATAGTGAATAATAATTCATCCGTATAAGTTTCAATGATAGGAGTCAGGTTGTTCAAATTCTTCGTATGCGAACTCGTTTTCGATGCATTCACACTGAAATAAGGCTTGTTTCATTCTGAAGATACGCGATCAATTACGCTACGACAAAATCTACATGCATGCAATATTAATAAAATTCATACTCGTTTTTTACAAGCTTAAAGAAGTCGTCAATTTGAGACGTGTGCTTGTTGTCTTCATCGATGCTACAAATAGCTTCCGACAATGCGATCACAGTTCCTGATAAGTCGTTAGGATCAAAGAAATTCGATTCGTAATTCGTTTCTGTCAACGTTGAACTTCCTTCTACTTTCGCTTCACAAGTTTTCGAGTATTCTATAAGGGCAGTATAAAGAGATGCGCAGAGAATATGAAGAAGAACGTTCCCACCAATCGGATGACAGTGAGCAGGAATGTTACTGTCCAACGCTATTGCTATCTTTAAAACCGAAGGTGGTAATGTTACGTATAATTCAGCAAAGCAGCCGATTACCAATGACATTGCCTGATACGTGCTAGCGCCAGTCTGAAAATTATCAATTATTTTCTTCTCCCTTTCTTCTAATGGAGAATTATTTTCTAGTTTCGGAACTTACTTTCACGGCTTCTAAAAGGATTTCAATAATGGGCTGCATCATATTCTTTAGAGGGTTTAAGATGGCATTTAGCCAGGGTGGCCTCGACTGATTCCAGACCTGTATAATTTTATGCTTTGCTTTTATATGTTCCATTTTGCTGATGGTTTTATTTGATTTTGTATTGAATACCTGTTGTCGATTCAGGTATTCGGACCAATCATTGTTTTGGTTTAAAGCTGGTATAATTACGCGGCCTGGGTCGTGCGCTGCATAAATTAAAATATACGTTAAACTATAAAGGCCCAATGTTGGCGTTACTTTTCTCGACGGATCGCACGTTACACCGCTGCATAAAAAACCCCCGCAAGTCTTCCCATTTACTTTCCCAGAATGTTCGAAATCGTCTTTAGACGTGAAGTCACCGCATTTTTTAATTAAAGTATTCAGTAATATTTTAGCTACCGCATAATCGTTCATAAAGAGCTACGACAAAATCTACATGCATGCAATATTAATAAAATTCATACTCGTTTTTTACAAGCTTAAAGAAGTCGTCAATTTGAGACGTGTGCTTGTTGTCTTCATCGATGCTACAAATAGCTTCCGACAATGCGATCACAGTTCCTGATAAGTCGTTAGGATCAAAGAAATTCGATTCGTAATTCGTTTCTGTCAACGTTGAACTTCCTTCTACTTTCGCTTCACAAGTTTTCGAGTATTCTATAAGGGCAGTATAAAGAGATGCGCAGAGAATATGAAGAAGAACGTTCCCACCAATCGGATGACAGTGAGCAGGAATGTTACTGTCCAACGCTATTGCTATCTTTAAAACCGAAGGTGGTAATGTTACGTATAATTCAGCAAAGCAGCCGATTACCAATGACATTGCCTGATACGTGCTAGCGCCAGTCTGAAAATTATCAATTATTTTCTTCTCCCTTTCTTCTAATGGAGAATTATTTTCTAGTTTCGGAACTTACTTTCACGGCTTCTAAAAGGATTTCAATAATGGGCTGCATCATATTCTTTAGAGGGTTTAAGATGGCATTTAGCCAGGGTGGCCTCGACTGATTCCAGACCTGTATAATTTTATGCTTTGCTTTTATATGTTCCATTTTGCTGATGGTTTTATTTGATTTTGTATTGAATACCTGTTGTCGATTCAGGTATTCGGACCAATCATTGTTTTGGTTTAAAGCTGGTATAATTACGCGGCCTGGGTCGTGCGCTGCATAAATTAAAATATACGTTAAACTATAAAGGCCCAATGTTGGCGTTACTTTTCTCGACGGATCGCACGTTACACCGCTGCATAAAAAACCCCCGCAAGTCTTCCCATTTACTTTCCCAGAATGTTCGAAATCGTCTTTAGACGTGAAGTCACCGCATTTTTTAATTAAAGTATTCAGTAATATTTTAGCTACCGCATAATCGTTCATAAAGAGTACCTGTATGTTAGAAATCAGAGATTCTTTTTAATTCTAAGATCAAATTATTCTTATGATAAAAGTGGTATTAAAATTACTTTCATCAATTGAGTCCAGTTCGGTTGTGGCTGATGCCTAAGTATATTCAATTCTAAGATCACAGCACGATCTTCGGATAATTTTGAAATATAAACGTCGGAATCGATTGAGCCTAATAAGTTCGGTGCACATATCAGTAACCAAGGAGCAGGTTCGCGACGTGGTTGCAACATTACTAGATTGTCGAATCCAACTCGGAATGCCTACAATATAGTATACCTGCTGAATTCATCGTTATAAAATTAATCAAAATTCTTAACAAGACCTCATTTCATAATAGTGCGACATACTAATTTTGTGTCTCATTCAGTATATCCTGTGTACACAGGCTTATTTATGTACTTCCGCAAACAAGCGGGGCCTGGGACACAATTTAATGTGTTGACAAGCCGTAAATAAGGCTTTGATCAAGTGTGCGATCATGTTGTATAATTAAATTAATTAGTTTATTGAAAAAAAATAAATTTATGATACATTAGACAGCGTCTAATTAATTGACATGTTGCCGCAAATTTTTATTTTTATACCTGATATAGTTCTCGAAGAGGTGTACCTCTTAGCAGTAAGCAAATCAACAATTCGTTGCACTTCGCGTGTATATCTCTGACAACGATTGGTAGTTTGTTTAATTTCGTTCCGATCATTTCATCAGCGCTTGTACAGACACCTAAAGCAAGGTATCCAGTGCAGCACAGAACATTGAAAGCGTCAGTCCAGAACTGTTCAGATCGTGCCAAACTCGGCTTGCCCTATTTAGTGTGCATTTTTATATCATACTATTTTTTTATAAGTATTCAGAAATGTTCTCTTACATATATGAACCGCGTAACGATAATTGACAGAGATTCGTTTAACATCCCGGAGTAAACGCGTTGTGCCATTCTTGGGGACACAGTACTCCACAAATCCGTCTTCGTTCCTAATTATATAAATATAATATTCAACGAATATTTATGTATTATTTAATTATAAATGAAGCATATTAAGCTATGAGGCTCGTCTTGCGTTCGCTTCAGATTCACATTACCAAACGCTTAAATATAATCACTTGCTATAACTAATTGGCTACAAAGTGCTATAACTTCTGTAATTGCTAAATTGCATTTTATTTAAATTTAACTATCCTATAATTACCTTGCATGTACAGCCACCACATTTGTATTACAAAAGAGCACCGCTCCCGTTCAAAAAATGGTTTGGTACTCTGCCAATTAAGCGAGTCAGCTTCGTTGAGTATGTAAAGAGAAATCAGACGACAGTGCAAATCCAATAATCGCTCCGCCACAGCCTCAGCCATTTCGTGATAGGATTTATACGATTTGTTTAATTTCTCGCTACCATAGAATTTTTTGAATCAATAAAATCTTTTTCATTTTTTATACACGCGTATTCTTTATTTCCCTATTCTATGGATTTTTTCGAATACCTTGACTGAGAAGAAATTGAATTTTTAGTTTGCTGATTGTAACACCAAAGGCAGTTTCGAACTAACGCGGCCGCTCCCAACGTGGCTGTTAATACCGTCAAATCTGCGTGATCTAACGATTCTTGGATAAGCAGATGCAAATGTTCTGCAATTAATTGAACGACAAGCGTGCATATTATATTTTTAATATTTATAAAGAGAAAAAATCAAATATTAGCGAAAACATTCTTATTTTTCTCGCGAAATCGTATTTTTTACCTAATAGCTTATCAGCGGTATCAACCACAAGCAATACGAATTCGCTCGGTTGAATTTTTTTAATAGCACCTTCTTCACCCTCGACGGCCGCGGATATTTCGCTTTCCATTGAATGCGTTAATCCCGAATGACACTTAAAAGCGGACACGAAGTCTACTTCCCACCAAGTAACGATTTTAACAGCAGCGAATGATGCGTGTCTTGGAAAATCGAGAGTCCCACCGCTGACACGCGTACAGAGCGGTTCCTTTAACACCGTTTGCATTTCCTGAATTATTATGCAACATGTTATACGGAGAAACAGAGTCACATTTCATTTTCATTGTGCCCCAAAATTTATCAAACCTGGTAATATTGCATATCTCGTTGTAACAAAATTCTAACTCGATCTACTAAATTCCCATCTTCCATAATATCCATTTTTGCTGTTCCTTTTATACAATATTCTTGTGTATGTAACAGGACTATTAATAAAAACGTTTATTACTAAGTCTTAGAAAATAATGTAACGCTACTTAATGTTTATCATTTTATTCGTCTATGAATATACATAAAGAAAATTTACATATACAACAGAATAATACAGTAAAATTAATTATGTGGTTTCTAGTGATATGTTTAAATAAAAGAAACTGCTGCAGTATGTGCGTAGCTACCATGCAGCTATTCGTGTCGGCATTTTACGGATATAGGTACTCACATAAATAGTACAACGTGTTATCTAATTGATATTATTGATCGTATGTACATAAACCGTAGTAATTTCTTATTCCCAATTTAATACAGTGAGTCTGTTCAATTAAGATTACAATATGAACCACCTAAGTAGTTCTCATCGCAGCGTCTTTCTCTTTACCACTGTACGAGCATTTCTCGAACTGTGTTTGATCCCTTACAATTGCTGGTATTTCATTGTTCAACAATTCATGCATTGTCTTTCCATCATGTTTATAAATCCATTTGCCATTTACAAAATCATATCGTTTCGGTCCAGACTTTGGAGAGGAAAGCCAGATTTGTTTATTAGGAGTTTGACGATTTATAACGTACGTGCCATAAGGATTACCAAATTTAATGGTCAATACTCCATCCTGGAACATTATTTGTATTATTAATCTATTATTCCTACTTATCAACCAATTATAATATAACAATGTAATGACAAAACATACTCCGTATGATACATCTCCATCTGTTAGATGTATCGCTCGTTCTACTAGCTCATCGAAGTATTCTGTTAAAGATTCAAGCGTATCGTTTGAAACTTTTTCAAACTGTACAGCTGTCAGTTCTCTACAAAATAATGTACATAATAATTACAATAAACTATTTACTACTTACAGATATATGAATTGTAAATATATAAATGACACAATAAATGCATAACATGCACTCACTGAGTAGTTGAATATCCAGCACTGTCGTTTGAACTGAAACGTGCTATTAATTTGTATTTTGAAGTTCTTAAGCTCGAATACTTTTCATTACACGATATGAGATAACCTATGCTTGGCTGATGTACATTAACTGTTTGTAGAGAACATTTATTTATAATACTAAATACTGGATCATACGATAATACCCGAAAGAGACTATTTCTTATTACGTTTCCGCTTAATATCATGATAAAAATTTTGTATATATTCGATGTCTATTGATCAAACGATGCGCCGAAATACCCATGCTACAGGAGATTCTTGGGCTAAATGTAACTTTCGTACCACAAGTAAAAATTTTATTAGAAAAGAACTAAGGTCTTAATTAATGATATGCAATCATGAAAGTTAACAAATTGATCCCTTATATAAATAATTTCGGGAGCTTGGAAGAACATGGTAGTCCCATCTAATAGTGAAGTTGACTATATTTCAAATGACGAAATACAATTTTCACGTTTCTAAGACGAATTATCAGGCCGTAAAGCAGTCAAAAATTATTAAAAATTCAGCTGAACTGTATTATATTCAAATGTTCATTTAAATACCGGAGATATTGACAATAATTAAATAGATTTTATCATTAGATGGTACCACTATGCTCTTCCGAGAAATCAAACTTTTT